TTCAATCAGAATCCATCTACCAAGTTACAAAAAACTACAACAGAGAAACATGTTAAATGTTACCACGGGGATTTAATCTCCCACATTTAGACTGTCAGAAACTCTACAGGACAAAGACCAAATCGTTTCTTCAACAAATAATAGAGAGAAGGAAAAAAAAGAGAAAGAGACAGAGATAGACACGGGGAAGGGAACCTACAGATTTAAAGAGATTTAAGAGCCATAATGACTGTTTATCAACAATACGGACCTTATTTGAATTCTGGTTTTAAGCAACCTGTAGAAACACAAAAACTGGGGTGCCTGGGTGGCTCAAATGGTTGGGCGTCTGCCCTCAGGTTATGATCTCCAGGTCCTGGGATGGAGCTCCACATCGGGCTCCCAGCTCAGCGGGGAGCCTGCTTCTCCCTCTTCCTCTGCCCCTCCCTCTGCTTGTGTGCTCTGTCTAATGAATAAATAAAATCTTAAAAAAAAAATAAACACATAAACTCACTCCAGACTTTGATCCAATTAGGGACATCTGAACACTGGATATTTAATTTATTTAATATTTAATTTTAATTTATTTATTTGACAGAGCAAGAGAGAGAGAGAGAAGGTTTGTGTGAGAGAGCACAACCAGCAGGGAAAGGCAGAGGGAGAAGCAGGTTCCCCACTGAGCAGGGAGCCCAAGGCGGGGCTCAATCCCAGGACCCTGAGATGATGATCTGAGACAAAGGCAGACGCTTAAAGGACTGAGCCACTCAGGCGCCCCTGACTGGATATTTAATATCCATAAAAAATTATAGTTCAATTTTGGGGTATTATAATGATATTGTCATTATGGTTATAAAGGGAGTCTTAGTTTTAGAGATATATACTGAAACATTTATGGATAAGATGATAAAATTATCATCGGGGATTGGTGTCAAAATAACCTGATAGGAAAAAAGTAGGTAGCATAGAGATAAAACAGGTAGTCTGTGAGTTAACAATTCTTTAAGCTGAGTGGTGGGTACTATTCCGTCTACCTGAATAATAGAGTGTTCAAAGAAGTGAATTTAAATACAAGATTACATGAAGGGAAGATTGTCAATTATTCTGAAAAACTGCAAGGACCTGGCAAATGTCATGTGTGTATCACAAGCTGGGGTGTCAAGGCAAAGCAAATGAGTTCTGTGGGAGATTGAAAGTTTATACAACGCGGTCATATCTATTCGAAGTACTCCTTCCATGCCTCACTGGTAAGGCAGGTTAGGGACTCCTATAAATGCCTCCCAACAACGAGGAGACGGTCAGCACAGGCTGGCTCTCCCAGGTGAGAACACAGCCCAACATGATCCACAAGCAGCTGCCCAATGAGAAGGGGCTGTGGTGGCAGCAGCAGATGAGGTGAGAGAAGCACTGTGGGGAGAGCCTTACACCCAGATCTGGTCAATGTGGTCACGGGTCGGGGTTGGGGAGCCCGTCCCCAGGGATAAATGAACCCATAGGGTTCCAAGGCTCCCCATGAACCTGTACAAGTGAAGATGCGTGAAGAATGACATGTCGACAGAAGTGGGAAAGAAACCCTTTGGTGGGAAACAAGACTAAAATCTTACAAAGTCTATTTTTTCCTGGCATCATTATATGTTGTCAGTAATAACATACCTGTTATTTTAAATAACATTTAAAATCTCATTAAAAACAAAAACAAGGGGTGCCTGGGTGGCTCAGTGGGTTAAAGCCTCTGCCTTCGGCTCAGGTCATGATCCCATCATACTGGGATCGAGCCCCGCATCGGGCTCTCTGCTCTGCGGAGAGCCTGCTTCCTCCTCTCTCTGCCTGCCTCCCTGCCTGCTTGTGATCTCTCTCTGTCAAATAAATAAATAAAATCTTTAAAAACAACAACAAAAAAAACAAACAAAAACAAAAACAAACCAGGGCACCTGGGTGGCTCAGTTGGTTAAGCAACTGCCTTCAGC